GGCCCCGCTCCTGGCTGCGCTGGGGATGGGGCAGCCCGCCTGCCTTTCGCCCTCTCCCGGTGCCCTGCGGTCCCGCCGTGCATCGTCGCAGTAACGCAGGAGCGCGCAGCTCCCCTCCGGCCTCGGTTTCCCTACCTGCAGGAGAAGGAGGGTGTTCCTACACGCCTGAGGCACCAGGAAGCAGCTACCTTGCTGCCCGAAGGTGCCTGGGCTTGCAGGGCCGGGGCGCCCGGCCTCCCTGACCCTGCCGCGTTGTGTCCCTGCCGTTCCCAGATTGCAGCGTGGAAGAGTCCTCCCCAGCTCCAGTGAAAAGCAAGTACGAGACCATGGATTTTGACAGCTTGCTGCAGGAGGCCCAGCTAAGCCTGCATCGGTAACAGCCTTAACCTTGGAGGAATACCTCATTACCTCAGTCAAGGCACTTCCAATATGTTTACGTTTTCAAAGAAATTATTCAGTCTATGAAAAGCGAGAGAGAGCGAGAGAGAGCGAGAGAGCACGCACGCGCGAGAGAGAGACTGCTGTCCCTTTCGATCGATGTTTACATTGAACAAAGCTGCTTCTGTCTGTGAGTCCCCATGGTGTCGATGTCTCACTGCCACACATTAGTCTCCCCGCTTCTGACTGGTTGTTTTAGGGTGAGCCTAGGAGCCCTCCGTCCCCTCTCCCCGTCTCCTGCCCCCGTCCCCCCGCCCCGCGCTCCCGCCCTTGGAGCTGCAGCTGTGTTCACCATAACATTTTTGTCCGTAGTGTGTGATGATGAAATTGTTAATTGTGAATAGAATCAGGATTATAAACTAATTTTTAATAGAAGAAGAAGAAAAAAAAGTATATACTTAAAAAATGTATTTATGGCTCAGATGTACTGTAATTCAGATTTATTGTACCGCTTCCTTGATTTTTAACTATGCACTGTAATGAGGCACTTGCCACTGAGCAAATGGGGGGTCAGAGCAGAATCACAGAGCCAGCGTTCGCCCCTCGGTCGCGGGGGCGCCCGCCTGCCCCGCCAGCGAACCGGGGCACTCTGCCGTCGGACTGGGGTCTCCCACTTTGCTGTCAAGCCATTCTTCCCGCC